GTCGGATTCCCCGTTGTGAAATCAATGAAACAAGGCGGTACAAACACTACCGCTTTTGTCCACAGGGGCTGCAAGCAGCAACACAAAATGAAAGTTCCTTGTTGCTGCTTAAATCTTTGGTAACTTGATTAAGATTAACTTCATTAAAAGGACTTTAAGGCAACTCATGCATATGCGCTAACCTTTCTTAGGGTTAGGGCCCAATGTCAAAATCTACTTTGAATAGCTGTGATGTTTCAGTTGATATTGTGGCTAAATGGTGCACATTCTTAAATACATTTACAGTTGAAGGACCAGTGTATAGGATTCAGAGGCATTTAGCAGTGAAGTTGCAAGTTGCAACTATCTGAATACCGCTCAGGCTTCAAAGTGTGCAGGAGAAACTATGGTGGCTGCAAAACTCACACTCAACACAAAAGGCCCAATCTAGACTCAGTGTTTGTCTGTTCTGGGCTACTGTAGAAACATGCCGGTTCAACATGGTGAAAGCTAGACCTTCAGCTGCCGAAAAACAAAACCCATAATATAAAAGTTGATGATATTTAAAGCTGAGCTCTGCTGCAGACAGATACTGCAGAGTTCAACATAATCTCTAGGAGACGTGTTGGCCATTATTATTTCAGCAGAACCTCTCCTAAAAGAAAGGATTCTGGTCTTACTGACCTACGAGTAGTATCAGTGTTGAAAAGGTGATCTTTGTTAATTATTTACACGTCAGAGTCCTTCTGTTGTCTGCTGCTGGTTGAGAATAAACAGGGAGAGCATTGTTGTTGGCTCAACTGGTCTCAGATCAGTGCGCTCAGGTGTCCAGAGTGCCAGAACAGGAGCGCAGACAGTTTGAATATTTGATGGCTGTGAGGGCAGAAGGTGCAGCAGTATTACAGAAAGGCAGAGGTAGAGGAGCATAGAACATAAGAACACGTTTTCACAATAATGTCACACTATCATAGGGATTCTGTGACTCTGTGAGTTTCCATTTCTCTCCGGCCATATTGAAAACTTGAATTTGAGTAAAGTTTGAAAACAGAAATACTGTATTTGGCAGAGATAAACCCCAGCAGACTAAGTCGAAGAACTATATCTGGGAGAGCGATGTGAGACGGCCAAGGAAGGGGCTCGGCGTCAAGGATTTCCAGGATGCTTCAAATAATATAACATTTTTAACAAAATAGTTCAACAGACAACGCTGTAAATAATAAATGTGCCTGGAAAATGTTGAATAATTTAGTCTTCATTAATAATATGTAGCCTATCAAAATGAGAACTGTACCTACATGATTCCTACAGAACTCACAGATCAAAACACAGCCAAGTTATCTAGATGATATGGTAGGACTTGAAATTAAAAATGTACTTGTGATCTTGAAAATGGGTTTATATTCTGCTTTAAATCTGTTTTCATGCACAAATGAGGGAGGACAGATGATGGCAGGGTGTGCACCCTCTATGACCTCTATTGCTAGCATAGTGCCTGTAATTGCACCTCCTAAACTGGAGCTTAAGGTTAAATATTTCATATCACAGTTGGAATTGTGTGTGCGTTGGAGCGTGTGTAGGCGGAAAGTGGGGGGAAAGGCCGCAGAAATAGTGAGTCTGAATGTAATCTGTTTTAATCTAAATGACAGGCCCAACACGAAAGTCAATTAGGGTGGGAATTAAATAGAAAATGTAAACTGCATTTGTCCAATGCGCGTGTTCACCCAGAGAATTCAGACTGCCCAACCCGGTCTCAGTCCCAAGTGGTCAAATGCTGCAGCTTGGTCTGTGGCTCCAAAATATGAAGCAGTAGGTATCCCTCTAGCGTTAATTCTGGACACCCCCTCCATAAAGGTCAACTGACGTCGTTTAAAGAGCAACAAAGTCTGCGTATGGAGGTGGTGGGGTGGATGGGTGTCTCAAACACACACAGAATTTTAACCCAGGAGTCCAGATATTATCTATTAATCTACACCGAATATGTCTGCAAAAAAAATTGTGGCAAGTAGACAAGTTCTTCTTGTTCTACAGTATAGTAATCCTACATGGTAGTATATTTTAAGTGTTTGTCCACTACTTTTGTGTGGACAAACACACAAACTGCTCCACCAAATAAAAATCTACTCAAAGAGTCTAAGCAAACCCATTAAAAAACTCTGTGAATCAGCATTTCATAATGACAAATGACCCCAACCATGTCCTGAATAGTGAATACAAACTGTTACCGTCAGACGAGAGATGCAAGGTTCCACGATTCAATATGGTTAGACTGAAGCACTCTTCTGTGCACCAGTCAATATGAAGCTAAATCCTAGATCCAATGTACACCGAAGGGCCTATAATATCTAACATTTCCGCATTAAAATGTCATTAAAAACTCTAAAGCTATGTTCTATATGTAGTTGAGTTGTGTATTTAAATTATCACAAATGTTTCCAACAATGTTCGAGGTGA